GTCCCCTTCCTCCCCCCGGCCCCCCCCCCCGTGTACCCCTGCAGGGCGCCCTTACTGCTCCCGTCCCCACCCCCTGTGTACCCCTGCAGGGCGCCCTTACTGCTCCTGTCCCCACCCCCTGTGTACCCCTGCAGGGCGCCCTTACTGCTCCCGTCCCCACCCCCTGTGTACCCCTGCAGGGTGCCCTTACTGCTCCCGTCCCCACCTCCTGTGTACCCCTGCAGGGCGCCCTTACTGCTCCCGTCCCCACCCCCTGTGTACCCCTGCAGGGTGCCCTTACTGCTCCCGTCCCCACCTCCTGTGTACCCCTGCAGGGCGCCCTTACTGCTCCCGTCCCCACCCCCTGTGTACCCCTGCAGGGTGCCCTTACTGCTCCCGTCCCCACCTCCTGTGTACCCCTGCAGGGCGCCCTTACTGCTCCCGTCCCCCCACCGTGTACCCCTGCAGGGCACCCTTACTGCTGTCCCCCCGTGTGTGGCCCTCTGCAGGGCACCCTTACTGCTGTCTCCCCCCGTGTGTGGCCCTCTGCAGGGCGCCCTTACTGCTGTCCCCCCGTGTGGTTCCTGCAGGCTGCCCTCACTGCTGTCCCCCCCCTGTGTGGTCCCTGCAGGGCGCCCTTACTGCTGTCCCCTCCTGTGTGTGGCCCTCTGCAGGGCACCCTTACTGCTGTCCCCCCTGTGTGGTCCCTGCAGGCTGCCCTTACTGCTGTCCACCCCCCCGTGTACCCTGCAGGGCACCCTTACTGCTCCCTTGCCCCCCCGTGTACCCCTGCAGGGCGCCCTTACTGCTGTGCCCCCCGTGTGTGGCCCTCTGCAGGCTGCCCTTACTGCTGTCCCCCAGTGTGTGGCCCTCTGCAGGCTGCCCTTACTGCTGTCCCCCCGTGTGGTCCCTGCAGGCTGCCCTACTTTTCTGCAGACACCTAGGGCACTCATGTGCCACGTAAAGTGGAACGGCCGTGGGCTCGCTCACAGGCAGTTGTGGGTGTCAAGCATTGCCCCAGGCCTCACCCCCGCCCTGGCTGGGGCTCCTGATTACAGCGAATCCACGTGGGGGCCGTGGGGGGGTGGCCCTGTGCTCTGGGCTGCCCTCCTGTCAGGGCTCACCGTCCTTCCTGTCTGCACCCAGCAGCCTGGCCTGCCACCAGGACCCTGCGTGGCCGGACACCCCACCCTGGGTCCTGGAGGGCTCGCACGCCCCGGCATTCGGCCCCGAGTTACAGCCGGCGGCCTGCTGGGACGCAGGGACAGGGCGCACCCTGTGGGCGGCCCAGGCCCCACTAGAGCTCCTTGACCATGCTCCAGATCGTGTTTGATGAGTGTCACAAGGCCAAGAACGCCAGCTCCACCAAGATAGGCAAGGCCGTCCTGGACCTGCAGGGCAAGCTGCCCCTGGCCCGCGTGGTCTACGCCAGCGCCACAGGTCAGGGCTCGCTGGGCCAGCCGGGGTGAGGCGG